TTACGTCAGATGTGGCGATCCCACAAGGGGATGGGGATGTTTCTTTTAAAAGATGATAACCAGTGGTTGGGGAGGATGTGAACACGCTGGAACTCTGTGCGTTGCTGGTAGGAACGTAAAATGGGGCAGATGCTTTGGGAACCCATTTGGCCATTCCTTAAAAAGTCCGGATTTCTTGACACAGTAGTTCCCTCCGGGGGTGTAAAGCGCCGCGGCCACACGGACTCGTCTTCGCAAGTGTCCTAGCAGCCCGCGTGTCCGTGAACTAACTCGGGTCCACAGGGGTCCGGGCCTCCGGGGAGGACCGTTCAGCGGTTCACAGAGGGAAGGTGTCCCCTAGAGGCTCTGGGGCAGCACGCGCGACAGCCGCCTGTCCCCGGCCGCGTGGCGCCGACCCCGTTGGCGGGAAGCGTCCGTGAAGTGTCCACAAGGGGCAGGTCGAGGCGGCGGCTAGATGGTGGCCGAGGAGCGGGGCTAAGGGCGGGGGCCCGCGGGGACACGGGGGCCTCGGAGGCGTCCTCCCTGGACCACGGCGCGGCCTGGGCGCGGCCTCGCCTCCGGCCTCCGCAGAGGCGCGAACCCCGCTCCGCCCGGGTTGCCCTGGGGGGCGGTTGTGCGGGTCCAGGGCCGCAGGGACCGGGTGACGGAGCCCGAGAGCTGGGGGCCTGGGGGGTCACCGGGCGAAGGGCGAGGAGGAGCCTGAGCAGGCGAGTGGAGTCGGGGGTCCCCCTGTGCCTCCGCTCGGTGCCGGTCCCCCTGCGGGTCCCCGGGTCTCGGAGGCGAGCGCCCGAAGCAGGAGAGGCCGCGTGTGCCCGGCGGGGGGGGGGGGGTTGGGGGGGGCACGGAGGAACAGCGCCTTCCCGAACGAGCTGCAGCTGCGGCCGCAGGAGCAGGCGCGGGGCCGCGTGTGAGCGTGGTCTGTGCGTCTGTGCTTCTAGAGAGAGGCGGCGGCGGCGGAGTCGCAGTGGCACCCGGTCTCCCAAAAAGCCTCGGTCGCCTAAAAGAAAGCTGTCGCGCTCGCCGTCCCCTCGGAGGTAAGGATGTCTCGGTGCTGGGGCCCCGGGTCCCGGGTCCGTGTCGTCGTCGCGTCGTCCCCCCCCCCCCCCTTGGCTCGGTGCCCTGTGCCCTGACCCAGGCCGCGCGGCCGCACTTGCAGGGAACTGAGAGCGGTGCGTAGAGCGCGTTGGTTTGAGGCTGTGTCGTCCCTGTCCCCCTAGACATAAAAAGGAGAAGAAGAAAGATAAAGACAAAGAGAGAAGCAGAGATGAACGGGAACGATCAACAAGCAAGAAGAAGAAAAGTAAAGACAAGGAGAAGGACCGGGAACGAAAGTCGGAGAGTGACAAAGACGTCAAAGTAGGTTTACAAACGGGTTTGCTCTGGTGCTCGGGGGAGCGCGGGGGATCTTGCCAGCCGGTCTTTCCGGAAAGACGTTTACTTCTTTATTCTCCTTGGCAAAGCAGGTCACACGGGATTACGACGAAGAGGAGCAGGGCTACGACAGCGAGAAGGAGAAGAAGGAGGAGAGGAAGGCAGCCGAACCCACCTCCCCTAAGACGAAGGAGTGCTCGGTGGAGAAGGGGCCGGGCGACGCCCTCCGGGAATCCAAAGTGAATGGGGATGACCATCACGAAGAGGACATGGACATGAGTGACTGAGCCCGGCCCGTGGCGCCCGCCTGTACACATGCATCAGTGTCATTCCTCGTGCGACCTCAACGCTGTATCTGTTCATCTCCGACCTAGGTGTGCACAGCTCTGAGTTACAAATGGTCATAAAGCTCCTGATAGTGATACTAGTCATTTACACCCCAAAGCTTCTAGAAAACGATACACGAGTCACCAGTTGTTGACGTGGTGAGATCTGATGGAGTAACCAAGCAGTCGTACCGTCCTGGTGCTGCTTCACAACACAACGAAAAGCTGCATGCGTCTCCAGCAGGCATGGATTGTTTCTGTCGTATGATCCTCTTTATTAAGTCAGTTCACTTATAGTATTTCTAGAATTTGATTCATCGCCGTAATAGAGCCCTGTAGGGAATGCACTGATTGCATGTTAATTGTGGCAGGAATATCCTAAATGTCATTAAGATCCTCCAACATGATGGATCTCCTTACGGTCTTGTTTGTTGACATGACAAATTAACATTCTTCTAGTTACATCTGAAAATGAACAGTTGAAATAGATAATCCTTTAAGCCTCGTGGCTGAATTTTCGTGGCTTTTGTTTAACTCTGAAAGGTTATATATATGCACTAACCTTTTTTTGATGGCTGATTAGGCTTCAATCACAGAAACCAGATTTCAGAGGAAGCGGCCTCCGGCAGTGGGTCAGTAGCATATTTTGAAGTAGAGTCGTATACTTCTTCATAAGGTGTTTGGGAATTTGTTTTCCTGAAATAATTTATTCCACGTCGTGACGTCAGTGAACACGCGTGTCTGCCTATCCTGAGTCCATCTGCAAAAGGAAGTTCTCTCTCGTCCCGATTGTCAGTTTTCCAGTCTTTTATTAATTTGTTTTAATCTCAGTGTTGGAAAAAAGGGGTAGTGCATTTTAAATTGACCTTCACATGCTTTTAAAATAAGACAAATCTACTTGATAATGTACTTTTTGATCTCGAGTTGTATAAAACCAATAAATTTGTGTTACTGTTACTGCAGTAGTGACCTTACGCACACGGTGATTCCATGTTAAATGCAAAGTAGTTAGGCGACTGTTTTCTTAGTTACAGGAGTTTCGAGCTTCACTTTTGTGCAGTAAAAGCAAAAGTAGGCTACGGTCTGTGCCATGTTGATGTACAGTTTCTGAAATTGTTTTACAAGACTTTGATAATAAAACCCTTAAACTTATGCTGATGCTCCTGTAAACCTGCATTTGTGTTTATTGACGCCCTGGGCTGCACCCCGGGGGTCCGAGGGGCGCGAGGGGCGCGAGCGGAGCGGAGCGGACCGACCCCCAGACCCGCCCCCGCCCCCCCCTCCCCCCCCCCCCCCCCCCGCACGGGGTGGGCCGGGAACGGCCTTATCAAAGGGAACTTGCTGCGCCTGCGGGGGGAGAGGGGGGAGAGGGGCTCGCGGGGCGCACCCGGTGCGGCCGCCCTGGGCCTCGGGCCGCGGGGGGGCGTCGTCCCAGACGGTGCCCTGAGCCTCCCCTCCGCCCCTCCGTCACGCTGAGGACCCGGCACCCCCAGCACCTCCCACCCCCCCCCACCCCCACCCCCCCGGCCCCGGGGCCTCCAGGCGGAGCAGCGAGGCGCTGGGCCGCGACGTTTCCAGGTCCCGGGCTCCCACGTGGGTGTCCGTCGCCCCCATCCCCGGCGGGGTGGGGGGTGGGGGCGCCCCCGGCTGGGCCAGGGCCAGGGCGGGGGGCGGGGCCTGGGGCGCGGCCACCTCGGCGGCTTCGGGGCGGCCCGTCCAAAAGCGCCCCGCTGCCCAGGTGAGCGACTGCGCCACCCCGCGTCCAGGCCTCGCGCCCCCCTCCCTGCCCGGGGCGGTGGCCTCCTCGCCGGTGCCCCCGGGGCCCCTGTGTGGACGGACGGTGCCGGGGAAGCGGGCGCGGGGACACCCGCCTTGGGTCCGTGGGACGAGGACGGGGAGCCCGGCCCGCGGCTGGAACGCAGCGGCTGCACCCGGGGGCTCCATCCCCCAGGCTCCCCCAGGGCTCCACACCCCCCCCCAGAGCTCCTCCCGCACCCCCACCCGCACCCCCACCCCCACCCCCGCAGAGTTCCATCCCCAGCAGGACCTGCAGGCTCCTTTTCTCATGACCCTCTAACATTCCCCTCCGGTGTGAGAATGCGGGATGCGCACGAGTACAAACGGGTGCTGATCCCGTCGGGGGCAGGGCCTCCGCCCCCAGTGGCCCCTCCGGGAGCCTCCTGCCTGGGGGGGGGTGGGGGTGGGGTGGGGTGGCGGCCGCGCCCCCGCCGCCGCTGTCTCCGCTTCCCCGAGGGGAAGCTGGCGTCCAGACCGTCCCCTGTACCTGTGCTCCCGCAACCACCGCCCCTGAGACACCCGACAGGTGCAGACGGAGGGGACGGACCTGGGTCTCGGGAAGCATCTCCCTGAGGACAGGAATCGCGTCCTGCAGGGACGCCTGTCCTAGGGGCAGGGATACCGAGGACGACGAGGACGACCCCGTTACCGCCTCCGTTACCGCCTCCGTTACCGCCTCCCACTTCCAGCCGATGGAAGGCTTGCGGGGTTTCGTGGACTCCCGCAAAACCTAGGTTTCCACGGGAGACTATCAGAATGTAGGGTGTTTGTTTGGGTCTTTGGGTCTTTGGGTCTGCTCGCGGGGTGCGCTTCAGGCACCGGGACACAGCGCGCACAGCGCTGCTGCACTCGACAACTGGATTAAAAGGCACATTTTGAAAAGTCTAATGTCGTGAAAAGTTTATTTGCATTTATTGACTCCTTGTTTTCACCATCGTAAGAGACACATTTGCTTGTCCTTTGTGGTCAAAGACATTTTGGAACGGACAATCTACTACTCTTTCTGAAAGAAAAGGAGAGGAGTTAAGAACAAAATCCGAGTGCGAAAGTTTTCAGTGGTCTCCCTACCTCCAGTGTACCCAGCAGGCCAGTCACAGCTCCGCGGAACCCGAGGGGAACCCGAGCCCCAAGCTGCAGGTCGCCCGCACGTGTGCAAGAAGATCCGCAGCACCTTCCTGCAGGACGGCACGCTCCGGGGAGGGCCCGGGGCCACGGCGGCCACCGCGGCCACCGCGGCCACCACGGCCACCGCCGCGCAGCCCCGCGCGCCGCACGCCCGCCCGAGCCGTCACACGGGAGGGCTCCACCTCCGAGCCCCCTGATCAACAAGCCTTCCCAAAATAACAGGGATCAACTTCTAGTCCGTAAACCTGATCTTTCCACAAAATTCGACAGACCCACATACGGTGGGGGAGTGATTGGTCTTTGAATCGGTGACTATGATCACTTCATTATAAAATGTAATAAAATGTCAACATAGGCAATGTCGTGTTTCAGCATGGAAGATGCAGCTTTATAGATGTTTATTATAAAATTTTCTTATGGTTGATGCTTTGGATTTTTAGATAAATCATCTCTTCAATAAAAGTCTCTAAATTCATTCAAATTATTTAAAATCCTGGAAAAAGTTCAGACTATTGGTCGCTCTACAAAATTTGACAGATGCATTCTGACACATTGATCAGGATACATTTAAAAAACATGTTTTAGCTAAGCTCTTTAATACAACATGACATTTTATGACTGTTGAACATGATTCTCCCTAATTTATTTTCAGTCTCGGACCTTTAAACCGTCTTGGAATAAATATGAAAAATTTTAGATGCAAAAATGAGTAATGCATGATTTCACTTTGGAGATTAAAATCAATAAATATTTTCTCATGACCTAAAAAAATAAACAGTAGGAATCGTCAATCCTGTGTACATTTCTGGAATTTAGCATGTAACAAATATATTCTGTTAGCATATAAAATGTTTTTTTACCTTACTTTGAAAGCATTAAGTATGTAGGGATGTCCAAAGTATGTGGGTGGTTTTTTTTTTTTTTTTTAAACTGACACGAATGCATCCATATTCCATTAAAAACAAACAATAATCAGAATGATGTGCACTTATTAGGAAGCGAGTTTAAAAATTTGGAGTTTTTTTAAAGTGCTGAGATTTGGAAGAGGAATATCTTTAAGCATGCTGACCATACCTTATCATGAACACAAAAAGGACTTTTAAACTCAGGTTTAGAAAAAAAGAAAAAAAAAAAGAAAAAATAGAGGTTCTATGAAAGGAAGATTAGTAACAAACATTTTCCATTGAAGAAAGAATTCAGGTAAAAACAAATAGCACCACAATGAATTGCACTAAGGTGCTAAAGGAGGTACCTTATTCCCTGCAGAGTGAACGCTCCTTCTGAAATGTATTGCAACATATAAATGCAATTGTTTAATGGTTACCATTTGGTTCATTCATCTACAGAAAACTGCATTCCTTCTAGTTCATTATACTGAACAAACATTCAAATTACTGAACTATACATAATGTTACATAGTTTACATTTTATGAAAACAAAGCTTGAAGGAATATTTATAAATGTCACCTTGAATATAAGATGACAAGTTTAAAAGGGCTTCATATCTCTTAAGACATTTAATTTATGTTAATGGTCCAGGAGTGTTTTAGATATAGATATAGATATAGATATATTTATATGCATATATATTTCAACAAGAAGTGTAAAAATCTTTAAAAACAAATCACAGCACTTATAGCTGTTTTACATAAGAAGTACTCAGGGTCATTAAGGTGTCAAACTATTATTACACTTATAATATGTATATTTTTAAAAAGACTGAAAATGGCACATCAGGAAACTTGCCGAAATTCTTTTTAAAGGCCCATCTCATTGTATCGTATTACTGATGTGTCGGCTCAATGTAATTCCCTTTTCTTCTCAGAATACCTGTCCCTTCTACTTGGATTCACTTCTGGGTCTCTGTATCTGCGTGCAGGATTTCCTTGTGAGAGGACATCACTTTCCATGTCAGCTAAAGATCAGGAAAACGGCTCGGGTCTTCCTTATAGTCATCAGGTATAGTGAAGATGGAGCCATCAAATTCATCATAGCGAAACTCCTGAAAAGTCACAGTGGCTGTGATCGTAGGAAACACGGGAATATCTAGAGAGGACGATCAATGACAACATTGTAAAATGTCTATCTATTTACAGACTAGAAATACTATCCGAGATATCCACGCCCCTTAAATGTGAGGAAGCACTGAATACTCGGGACCTGATGAGTCCTAATACGTGTCCAACAGTGGGTGCGTCTGTTTCGGAGAAGGGCTTTGTATTGGTGGAGAGAGAGACACACCAAGGCATCAAGAATCACATCACAAGGGCGGCCCGGGTGGCTCAGCAGTTTAGCGCCGCCTTCGGCCCAGGGCATGATCCTGGAGACCCGGGATCGAGTCCCACGTAAGGCTCCCTGCATGGGGCCTGCTTCTCCCTCTGCCTGTGTCTCTGCCTCTCTCTCTCTCATTTATAAATAAGTAAAATCTTAAAAAAAAAAAAAAAAAAAAAAAAAATCACATCACAAATACAGGTTCTCGTGGCTTCCCAACCTTAAACCTATTAAGACAGAGTCCCCCAGGCTCTTATCTTTTTCTTGGGGCCAAGAGACAGATATATTTGTACTTTTCACATTCTGGCATCTTTTCTATTCATATCATAGTGTATATACTATTCGGACCCTGAGCTGATTTCTCTTCATTCTAATACAAAAGAAATACAAATAACAAATAATTCTACATTTTGTAATGGTTAAAAACACACACCCACACAATTACATGAAGTTTAAACTCCAACGTCCCTAAGTAAAGTTTATTGGAACTTAGATGCCATGCATTTACTTACTGTCTATGGCTGCTTTTGTTTTCCAAGAATTAAGTAGTTGTGACAGAAACCATATGGCTCGCAAAGCCTAAAATATTTACACTCCTTCAGAAAAAGTTAATGACCCATCTTAGCCATTGGCAACAAGGGAAAAAACAAGTGAGCAGGAGAAAAAAAAAAAAAATCATTCATCGATGGAGATTATATCCTGGTTGGGAGACATGGGAAATAAGTGAAAGTGAGTGTGACTAAGAATATAGAGAGAGGTAGTAAAGCACGGTGGGGAGAAAGGAGTCTCCGTGTTGGAGCTCTTGACCAGGGTGGTCATGAGAAAACCTCAATTAAGTGACCTTCCAGCAAAGACGTGAGCCGTGAACCATACAGCTGCCCAGAGGGAAAAAATCCCAAGCAGAGGGAACAAGTACAACAGCCCTAAAAAAGACAGTGTCCCGTGTGTCCTGGGAACAGCTAAGAGGCCAGTGTGGCTGACAGGTGAGTGAAAGGAAGACGAACAGGAGGAGGAGAGACAGGCGCCCAGATCAGGTGGGGTTTAGGTCAACAAGTCTTTGGCTATTTCTCTGGATGAAAAGGAGAACCAGTGGAAGGTCGTGAGCAGGGCGGTGACGCGCACTGTGTGGGCAGATGTGATGAGAATGTCATGGAGGCTGACGAGTAAAAGGAGACGCGTTCCAGAAGGAGCAGACACGCAGGGAGACGATCGAGAGAGAATTCTGTCCAAGAAGTCAGAGGAAACCCGAAGACGACGACCTATCATTCACGGGGATGGGGACTGCACACAACAGAGTCAAATCCTGGAGAGATTATCAGAACGGTAACAGAGCGGAGCCAGCAGGCTCAACAACAGGAGTATCAGTTATAACACAGTTAAGAGTGGAAGAGAGAACATGCAACGAACAGCTGGCTGCCTCTAGTTCGGGGCTACGGCAAAGACACTCGGCCCGTACTGAGTGCTCCACTTTTCCCACATCTGCACAAGCATTTGGTGTCCCCACGTTTTATCTTAGCCATTCTGTTCGGAGTGTAAAGTGATACTGTGGTTTTATTTGCCTTTCCCGAATGGTTAATACGACTCAACACTGTTTATGTGCTTACGTTCCATTTACATATTCTCTCTGGCGAAATGTCTGTGTCTTCTGCCCTCTTCTAATGGGCCTGTTCCGTTACTGATGAGTTTTAAAAGTTCTTGTGTTTTTTTTTTCTTTTAACTAAGTCTTTCAGAGAGCAAACAGTCTTCACTTTTCATGATGTCTAATTCATTGATTTTTCTTTTCACGCATCATGCTTGTGAAGTCTAAGAACTCCTTGCTTAAACCTATATCCCTAAGGTTTTTTGTTTATTTCCTAAAAGTTTTATAGTTTTACATTTTATATGTAGATTCAAGTCCATGAACCCTTTTCAACTAATTTTTATACGAACTGCAGGACTTAGGTAGAGGTTCTTTTTTTGCCTTTGGGTGTCCATTTGTTGAAAAGGCTATCTTTCCTCCATTGAACTGTTATCGCATCTTTATAAAAAATTAGTGTGCATATTTATGAGGGTCTATCTCTGGATTCTCTGTTATGTTGTTTATATATTCATCCCTTAGCCTGTAGCACACAATCTTGATTACTACAGCTATACAGTAAATATTGAAACTGAATAGACAACTCACATTTTATTCTTTTTCAAAATTGTTTTGGCTATTCTTTTGGAGATAGGGTCTGCAGATTGCAGAAGTAATCAAGTTAAAAGTCGTTAGAGTGATCTCTAATCCAATATGATCGGCGTCCTTAAAAATGGGGAAATTTGGAGACACACAGCAAGAACATCATGTGAAGTTCAGTGAAGGCAAAGATCGGAGTGACTCTTCTAGAAGATAAGGAAAATCGCCAGAAGCTAGGGGAGAGGCATGGATAGCCCCGGGAGCCCATGAAAGAGACCTCAGATTTGTAACTTCCAAAACCATGAGAAAATACATTTCTATTGTTTAAACGACCAAGTTTGTGGTATTCTGTTACAGCAGCCCTAGAAAACCAATACAGATATTCTAGATTCTTTGCCTTCCCATGTAAATTTTAAAATAGTCTTGTCTGTTTCTACAAAAAACTATTGCTGGGATTGTGCAAGAACTATGCTAAACCTGCATAGCAACTGGGGAGAATGAACATCTTTCCTATGTTGAATTTTCCAATCCATGAGCATGGTATGTCTCTCCATTTGTTTAGATCTTCCTTTAATTTCATTCATTAGTGTTGTATGATTTTCAACATATAAATAGTGTATATGTTTAGTCAAAATTATGCCTAAGTATTTTTTTACAATTGTCTAATTGTAAAAAGTACTTAATATTAGTGTTGTATGATTTTCAACATATAAATAGTGTATATGTTTAGTCAAAATTATGCCTAAGTATTTTTTTTTTACAATTGTCTAATTGTAAATAGTACTTAATATTTAAATTCTGATGTCTATGTGTTCAATGCTAGTATTTAGAAATACTATTGGTTCTTTTATGTTTAACTTGTATCCTGCCATCTTGCAGAACTCATGAATTCTGGTTTCTGGTAGAATCACTAGGATTTCTACTTACAGAATTATGTCCTTTGCAAACAGAAAAGGTTTTCTTTCTTTCTGCTCTGAATGCCTTAGTTCCCTCCATTTCATTCTTTACTGTATTTATTATCCGTTTGATTTCTGCAGGCTTGTAGTACTATCCCATATCATTCCTTATTTTGATAATTTGTGTTTTCTCCCTTTTTATCAGTCTTGCTGCAAATGTGTTCATTTTATCAATCTTTTCAAAGAACCAATTCTTTGCTTCATTGACATTCAAAATTTGTTTTGTTTCCTCTTTCACGGATTTCTACTGTTATTTCCTTCTTGGCTTTAGGTTTATTTTGGCTCTTCTTTTTCTCTTATTGTCTAGTATGAACATATAATGATTAATTTTTTATTCTTTAACAATTATTGAAGTTTGTTTTATGGCCCAGGATTTGGCCTACCCTGGTACAGGAAGTTTCATGAGCGTGTGAAAAGAACGTGTATTTAGCTAATGCTGGGTAAACTGTACTATAAATGCCAATTAAGTGCTGTAGTTTAGGTGTTCTGTATCCTTGCTGATTTTCTGTCTAGTTGTTATATCAACTGTTTAGGGAAGAAGAGTGATGAAGTCTCCAATTATAATTTTAGATGTTTTCCTTTCATTTCTTTCAGTTTTTGTTTCCCTTACCTTGTAGCTCTGTTCTTTGGTACATATACATGTAGAATTGCTATTCTTCATGAATTGATCCTCTCATCATTATAAAATATCCCTATCCGTTTCTGATCATTTTCTTTGCTCCGAAATCTACTTTATCTAACATTAAGAGAGTTACTCCTGTTATCCTTTGATTAATGTTTACATGAAACATCCTTTCACTCTCAACCTTCCTATATCATATTTGGAGGCATGAAAAGAACATATACTTGGGTCATGTTTTTTGTTTGATTGTTTTGTTTTAATCTTTTTTTTTTTAAGATTTTATTTATTTATTCATAGAGACAGAGAGAGAGAGAGAGGCAGAGACACAGGCAGAGGGAGAAGCAGGCATCATACAGAGAGCCTGATGTGGGACTCGATCCAGGGTCCCCAGGATCACGCCCCGGGCTGCAGGCGGCGCTAAACCGCTGCGTCACCGGGGCTGCCCCTGGGTCATGTTTTTTAATCCATTTTGCCAATCTCTATCTTTTAAACAGTTTATTTAGACTATTTACATTTAATGGACTTATTTACATACTAAGTCTGCCTTTTTGTTGTTGTCTCTGGTTTTTTATTTCATTTTCTTTTCTTGCCTTCCTGTAGGTTACCACACTACTTTAGAATTTCATTTGTCTATAGTGTTTTTGTATATACCTCTTTGTATAGTTTCTTTAGCTATATATATTTTATATATGTTATATATAACTAATTTGCCATAGTCTTTTAGTGTCATCCTTTTAGCAGTTCAAGTGAAGTAGAGAAACTCTGCCTCCCTTTATGTGCCTTCACCTTCTCCCCTTTACAATATAATTAATTGTAGATAAAGGTAACAGTGGAGATATAAAACTAGACTTTCAAGTAGCCTGGCTATGAAAAACAAAGATTAAGGACCAAGTGCTGAGTCTGGACCACAAACCACTGTGTAAAACTATAACCAACGATAGTAACCCTAGTATCCCGTTCCCCCTGCCCATCCTCCCCTCCAACCCCCGCCCGCCCCGCTCGTTACTCGCCTTCAGGAGCCATGCCTCACCCAAGCTCCCCCATCAATATTTCTCCCATCACTGTCTACCTCATAAATGTAACCCTGCCCATTCCTGCCCATCACACTCTTACTTACTTCCCCATTCCCTCAACCACCCGAATTCCTCCTCGCTTACTGCCCTTTCAACCCCAGAGGCCAAGGAAAGCCACCAGTTACCAGCAGTGTTCCAATTGCCCCTCCCATACAGACAATGGTGTAGTTTTGTTTTAGGCCCGACATCGTTCGCGACGACCTAACCGGCAAGATAAAAATCCCAACTCGCTCTGCCGCCCCCAGCCCCCTTGCATACTACAGTTGAAATCAGCCTAGTGGGCGACAATAGGGGACAAAAAACACATAGAACAAAAATAGCCTATGCGCAAAAGAGGGAGCCTCAGGCACAACCTATTCACCCGACCAACAACCTAACTTCCAAACCCTCACATTCAAAGTTCAAAAGTCCCCCCACCAACCTGAATGCCCCAGAATACACCCAAATAATCACCAAAAAACCCCAATGCCCAAGCACAAAAAAAAACTTCCATCCCCCCACCTCCACTTTCATTATTCCTCAACCCCCCACCCCCCTTCGGACCTCTTCAAAACCCTCTAAACCAACCCGCGCTCGTCCCCCCCCACCCTCCCCCCCCTCTCTCTCTGCGTCTCTGCTCTCTCTCCCTTACCCCCCCCAACCCCCACCCAAAACCCTACACCCCTTCTCCCGCAACACAACCCATTAACCGACAGCGAGTCTCAACTAATAGAAAATCCATCAAAGCCGAATAGATTCCAATAAATAACATAAACCCAAACACACCACCCTAACAATAACAAACAAACACTAATGAACAGAGGTAAGACAGCGGTAATTTGGACATAAAAAGATCAGAACCCATAGAATCGAAAGACACACACAAAAATAAGAACAATCCCTGCCCACTGTTTTAGTTTGTCACTGTGCCTCTTTAAATATAGTACCTAGAAGAGAGTCCAATGCATCAGGTATTTTCTGGCTATAGAATATTACAATCGGATTTTAAGCTTCTGCAGAAATGAGCACATAATGAACCCTACCAGCAGCTCAAACACACATCTCTTGATTGCTTTAGTTCTCAAATCATTTCTAACTTACGATCTTATCACTGGTTTCTTCAAGTAGACACTGGGTTCTCAATACTTTTTCATTACAAAGGGAATCTACAGTGACATTTTGAAATGTTTTAAAATCCATTTTAACCCACAAAATGCTTATTTCCAAGTCTGTAAAGTTGAGAAGGTCATGTTTAATTTTTAGCAATGAAAGCATTATTTCTGTGAGAAAAGCATTTTGGCCTAATTATTCTGAAATGTGATTTTAGTAATGTTGAATAAAAAAAATAAAATCTATCGGAGGGATTAAATAAAGGTTATACTTACTATATATTTATTTTTCTCTCCACTGGAATGTAAACTGTAAGAGGGCAGAGACTTTTACCATCTCTCATCCCTAGAAAAGCATCTGGCACACAGCAAGCACTGATTAAATAATTGGTGGCATATTTAATGACCATCCTAATAGAACATGGGTGGTATTACTGGCTCTCTTGAAGCTTAACCCAAATCTAAGCCTAAACTCCTAAAGAACCATTTAATAGTCTCCTGTTCCCAGTTTTCTGATATACTTAGGAAGATAAATACAAAAACAGGAGTTTAGTGTTTTGAAAGATCATTGCTTAAGATGAAATTAAGCTTAAACATTTAAAACTAAAAGATAAAATGTATGAGTATTATTTTACCCAAGAATAGTGACTGTTAAGATTCCACAAACATTCCCACTGTTCAGAAACTCAAGAGTCTGCTAAAAATTTGGGCTAAAACCCAGTTTCCCTATTTGACATTAGAAAACGTTATCACAGGGCATTTTAAGTTCTCACACCCTCTTGTATGAAATATTTGCATATCCCTTACATTTAACTTAAATCCAGTAGAATTAGAACTCTCTAATTCTCTGTTGGAGTTCTAAACATAAAATATAAAACATAAATCTCAATGCGTGTAATCACAGGAAAACTTTATAAAAATGTAAGCAACTAGGAAATCATTTTCCTTCCAAGTACATTTCTTATTAAATGTTACTAATCAGATCTGTATTTCTAATGGACATTGAAATTACATATAAATTTTCTCTTACCTAGTTTTACAGGGAAGCCTGGAGGAAGCTTCATCTGAACAAATTCTCTAAGCTTGTTAAAGTGCTTGAAGGGAGCTATTACTTCCAAAACATTCAATAATCTGAAAAATGGAAGGAGAAAAAAATATTATCATTTTTCAAACTGACCTGTGTCCTTCTGTTGTTTTAGAACTGCATGCCTTCGCATGCTTTGTGACTCAGACAGGAGTACTGACGTCTAGAGGTTAAGGATGAGGAAACGTCTCCTGGTTTTTTATTACTCTCTTTCATGTGTCAAAGTTCACAACATTTACATTTGATTCTGAAGCCAGAGTTTCCAGTTGTTTGATTTTTATATTTATATTTAAATGAAAGGTTTACACCCATGTTCTTCCTGAAGTCTACATACTCCTGAGTCCTTTAATTAGTCTCACTGCTTGGGTGGCTGAATTTCACGGTCAATTCTGTACGTGTGAAGAGCTCTTATGTTCTTTGTATTCCTTGATTTCTTACAGATTTCATAAATGAGTGTTTCTTTTTTGTATGTATTTTTTTAAGGATTTTATTTATTTATTTATTTATTTATTTATTTATTTATTTATTTATTTATTTATTTGAGAGAGAGAGAGAGAGAGAGAGAGAGAGAGAGAGAGAGAGAGAGAGAGGCAGGCAGAGACACAGGCAGAGGGAGAAGCAGGCCCCATGCAGGGAGCCCAACGTGGGACTGGATCCCGGGTCTCCAGGATCGCGCCCTGGGCTGAAGGCGGCGCTAAAGGGCGGCGCTAAACCGCTGAGGCCCCCGGGCTGCCCTCTTTTTTTGTATGTTTAAAGGGAAATTTAGCTGGCAAAAAATTTCAGTTTGCACTTCTTTCCCTCTGAATTACAATTTCATAAAGCCTGCCTGAATTCAGTATTCCATTAGTCTTTAACTGTAATGTCCCGTTTCATCTTTCGGTTGGATGGATTTCGTTTTTGTTTTTTTTTTTTTTAAGATTTTATTTATTTATTCATGAGAGACACAGAGAGAGAGAGGCAGAGACACAGGCAGAGGGGGAAGCAGGCTCCCTGCAGGGAGCCTGACGTGGGACTTGATCCCAAGACCCCGGGGTCACGCCCTGGGCCAAAGGCAGCCAAAGGCAGCCGCTCAACCGCTGACCGGTTGGATTTTCATTTTCACAGGTGCCCCGGATGGATTTCATTTTCAAGTAGTATTACTTTTCTTTCAAAATGAACCTATAGCTGCCATATGTCTTGAATTCTTCTGTGTTTTCTTCAATTGCCTTGATATGTAAATGACATCTTAGCCAGATACACTACATAATCACATTTTCTTTGTCTCAGAAATGTCAAGATGTGAAAAAATGCAAAGCTAGGTTTTTACCTTTTTTTTTTTTTTTTTTTTTTTTTTTGCCTAAATGCCTTTGGATTTCTTTACTAACAACTGAAGTCCAACAGTATAATCAGGATACTTACTGTTACTAATCATCCTTAGATTTTTCTTAGAACCTAATGTTATGCTACAGATTGTTTTTCCTTACAAAGGATTTGTGTTTTACCCTACTTTGCTATTATGGTTAACATTTTGGAGGCTTTTCATGTAAATGGATCACCAATGATCCTTATGTCGAACCTTCTTGTCTTCCATAAATATTGCTTCTCTAATTCTTTAGCCTCTTCTTTCATTAAATTCACGATGAGCTATCAAATTTTATTTTTCAGCCACATCTATTGTGTTCATTAACGTTTCTAATGTATTTGTTCCACACTAGTGTTATTTAGTGCTTAATGTATTCCCTAGCTTATAATCTCCTTCTCGTTTCATTCTATTATCATCTCATCTTAGAATGACCTAATTTACTTATTTCACATTCTTCTTACATTTTTCTGTAGCATTTACAAGGAATTTTCTTCTGTTCTTTGACCTGTATCTTACTGTGGAATAAATATTTTATCCGGCTTGTACATGCTCTGTTTTTAATTTTTTTAGAAGGAATGGTTATAATGGCCACATTTTATGAATTCTAATGTATCCATTTTCTTTTTCACATGCTAACTGTGAAATTGGGATAACTCCTAAAATTGATAGCCTCTTATAAATCAGCCACATTTTTCTTCTTTATTAGAACATAAAACTGGTGCATCCTTGGGTCATTGGGGTCCAAACTAGGATGAATCATGCAGATTTGTAGGTATGGCTAATGCCCTTCTCACATCTTCTGACAACTATCAATCTCCCTCTCTCATCTATAGATTGAGGGCTGCATAGCTCATTCTACCTTTTTTTTTTTTAATTTTGGTTACTGAGAAGTATGAGACACGTACATCCTTTGTAGAAAATATGAGTCCTCCTTTCTTCTATGAGCATTATTTTTTAAAGATTTTATTTATTTGAGAGAGACAAAGCATGACAGAGAGAGAGAGCAAGCGCATGAGGAGTGGGGGGGGGGTGCAAAGGGAGAGGGAGAAGCAGACTCCCTGCTGAGCAGAGAGCCCAATGCAGGGCTTGACCCCAAGACCCCAGGATTCTGACTTGAGCCAAAGGCAGACGCTTAACTGCCTGAGGCACCCAGGCACCCTGAGAATTATTTTTTAATATACTAGGCCAAACTAGAAAGGGAAGAAACTAAGAAGGAAAAATCGTCTGGTGCTTCAATTCATCCCCTCCTTTAGAAAGGAGCCTGAAGTTACCTTTCTGTCAGCTCTACCCACCCATCTCTCCCCTTCCACCTCTCCAAATTGGATTTCTAGTTTTTGAGAGGGGGAGGCAGACAAAAAGGGAAGGACAATCTTAGGCAGGCTCCATACCCAGCGTAGAGCCCAACGCAATGTAAGGCTCCATCTCACAACCCTGAGATCAGGACCTGCGCCGAAATCAAGAGTCAGATGCTTAACTGACTGAGCCGCCCAGGTGCCCCACAAATTGGGATTTTTTTAAAATGAGCATCTGATGAGTACAGGTTTGAAAGGATATATTCAAGACATTCACTGCAGTACTATTTACAATGATGACAAACTACAATCAAAATGTTTATCAGCAGGAGGATGATACAACAAAGGACAGTACATCAATACTAAAAATACCAAGGAAAGAAGAGAGAAAAATGTAATTATTGGGAGAACTCTGAGATACACTCATTTTTAAAAGAAAAAATGAAATTCACAGAACAAAATATAAACTATTCCCTGATCCTATAAAAAATGCAAAACACACAGAAAAATCTAGACAAAAATACCCATCCCAGTTATTCACTTATTAACTATTAGTGACATAACAGTAAACTCATTTTTATTCCATGAGCTTCCATGCTGTTAGATTTTTTTATAATAACCATGGATTCATTTACTGCTTTTATAATTTAAAAAAAAATGACTCAAAAACTTATCTGGTTTATTAAAAGAGTAAAAATGTTAGTAGTCTGTGAACTAGAAAACACCTAGAAGTGTGCACACACTATCAAACAATGGCTATTTGCTTTTTCATTTCAAAGGCCTCAAATGCAACACTCAGATACAAATATTATTACAGCCTTTAGGGTTGCATAGTTTCTTTCATAAACTTATGTAGTCAGTAACGAACTTACGACTCTATTCCCAAAGGAAATTCCTGGCTCATGGCTATTGTCGCTTTAAATGTTTTTTTACTCTCTTTGCACACCAGTTCTCTACCCAGATGAGGAGCTCTAAAATGGGAAGAAAAAAAAAATTAGGAAACCTTTTCTACATGCTACCATCTTCCTATGAAGAATCTGTCATCTTCTAATGACAATAAATCAATTTTTCTTACTCTGTATAGAAATAAATTTAAATTATGCTAAAAGGACTTCTTATGTATAAGAAATAAGACAAGGGTAACAAAATAAGAAACTAGCATAAGGTTCAGAAAAGTCAACAAATTTCATATCAAATGTAATTTTAATAATCACTACTTTTAGGAATAACACAAATCGCTAGAAGAAATAAACTTTAAACAGTTTTACTGTATCTCTTGAACAAAATATTGCATACCTCTAAAATCACTTATTCAATTCACTCTCTTTTACTGTCTATACTTCTTAGCACTGACCAATAAGAAGTAAAGAGTAAAAAATTTTATATTAACTATAGGCTATTATAAGATGGAAATATTTTGGAGAAGTTAGAAAAGTATAATAATAAACCTTAAATATTAACCAAAATCAGTCATGACAGCTTCTTCCTAATCATGGAAGTAGCTAATATTTTATTCTCTACCAAAAGGAAAAAACATTTTCTACTAACAACTATATACTTTCTTTGACAGGGTTGGCCAGAAAAAAATCTTTTTATTTATTCACTCAAAATCAACCATTTATTCACTTATCATCCTTTTATTTAGTAAATGTTTACTACATACAAACCATGTAATAGGTACTCTAATAAGGATCAGTAATATAACATTAAGCAAAGTCTTATGTAAAGATGGTGAGAAGTAGGCCTGGCACAGGCTGAAATAGATAATGACAAGAGATGACTTCAGAATGTCAAAAAGTAGAAAAATAGTAAACAACTTCACTCACCATGCTAAAGACTAAGCATAATAACAGATTATAAAAGTTCATATGTAAGGGAAAAAACTCAAGCAACTGCAGTGGGAAATTCTTCACATTATATTTTCTTAGAGTAATGTCTGTAAGTTTTGGGGTTACATAAAATGGCAGCCAGGATGTAAAAAGAAGGCTCTACAATTTATTCAAATGTAACTGGGGTTACTTTCCTCCCTCATCATACTTAATCTACATTTTACATGATAAAAGAATTGCTTCAGACAAAACTACACTAAAAATTCTTTATAAAATAATTTTACACCTAAATATTCATGTTTTTACAAATTGTTCTTTCTAAAAACCAATGAATAAAATAAAGTAAAACAAAAAAGTCCTTTCTACAAGAAAATCAATAAACAACAACAAAAAAACTTACTTTCCATTTTCAGCAGATATATACTCTTCCCATGTAATAGTGTTCTGAGGAGGAGGGGTAAGGGACTGTCTTCGAACCGGCTGCCAAAAAATAAAAAAGAAACAAAGAAAGAGGGAAAGACAGGGAGGAAAAAAGAAAAATGACATATTTTTAAAAATATATAATAAAGACATGTAATAAACTATGTTAATTACTAATGTACTTAAATCTCTTCAACATAATGCTTTAAGGAGTTCTTCTGAGAGAAGTCCATGGTGATTTAAGCTCACTAAGACTTATAAGCATTTTTTTTTCTAAATCTCAAATAAGACAAGTATCAAAGTAATATAATCCATTTGTCCAACAGCTTAATCATCTAAAATGTTCCTGCTGTTATGCCAGATGTTGAACATGGGAACTAAAGACAAGTATAAAAACTAACCCGCAAGGAATTTACAATTCAAAGTTGGAAAGAAGAAGAAGAAAAAAACAACACATACAGACCTAACTGAGAAATACAAAATATTGTATGTTAAAGGCCAAATGAGCTTACCAAAAACAGAAGTTTAGAAAAGAGAGCAATCGTCTATGGACAATAAATGGAGACTAAGGGACTGGGGCCCAGATTTAAACGAAAACAAAATAAAAAAGAATTATTTTAGATGAGGAGAATGGTTAAAAAAATAAATAAATAAAACCCACACACAAAAGACTGATTTATTTAAACTGGAAAGGAAAGTTCAAAAGGGAGATCAACAATAGTCATAAAGGTCATGTCGGATTTTAAAACTTGTTTTTTGCTAAATATGAATTGGTATCACCACAGGACAAACTGGCAATAAGGAACTAAGGGAGTGGCAGCAGAAATTAAAAATGCTATGGAAAACTACCGAGACAAACTTGTGGAGCAAAAGGGCAAGGAATCAAAGACTGATATAAATAACAAGATACATAGTTACCATGGGGAGAGGGTCCCATTCATAGCACGGTGTTAGGTACTATAAGATGTTAGTAGGCAGGATATTAGAGCTGTTAAAATCAAGGATTTTGAAGAAAACAAACTGAGTTGGAATCCTAGCTCCACTACCTGGTAGTTGTGGGAATCTGGGCATTACATTCTCTCATGTCAATTTAACTCACCTGCAAAACATATGACACCTAACAAAATCAAGGAGAAATGGCAAAGAAAGAACATAATGCCTGATACAGAATTAAGTATTGAGTAAATAACAGTCACAATTGTATACTGTGGTTCCCAGAGGGCAGTTACAAAAAGAAAAGGTAAGAATCCAGTTAAAGATATGGGAATTCTAAAAAAAAAAAAGATATGGGAATTCTCTGACTAGATTCAAAAAAAAAAAGTGAAAACAGGAGGTTGATAACTAAGTCCTAAAAACAATGGCATTAAGAGAAAAAAAAGAAAGAAGCCAGATATTAATAAGAAAAAAGAAAAATCTGAGCATCAAGCTGTCATGAAGGCCAAAAGACTGTTAAAATCACAATACAAAGACTTTAAAGAGAAAGATGCTTGAAAAAGAGCCATATGTTCTTTTGGTTAGAAGTGATTGAGATTTTTGAATAGCATCAGAAAGATGTGGGGAAAAAAGGAAACTAACAGTGTTTGAGCATCAGGCAATATGAAATAACAACAATCCCAATTCTTGAAAACTTTACAAAGAGACACACAGAGAGTAGGTTATAATCCCAAGTGATCGGGGCTTTGATTAAGGGATCTAAAGGATGACATAAAATCATAAAGAGGGGGTTTCTGACCCAGACTGGGGTAGCCAAAGCTAAGTGCCAGGAATCACGGTTCCTGAACAGAGGGGTCTACAAGAAAGGGAACAAAAATACCAGTTGAAGAAGACTGAGGAAAGCACAATGGCAAGGAGAGTCATGTGATACCCACTTAGTATGAGTAGAACACATGGAGACAAAGTAGTAAGATACAGGGGTAGGTGAGCAAGACAGAAATGAGAACGAGCACTCTGGCCTTCCATTTTGTGCACTGAATAGACCACATTTTACACAGGAAGCAACAGACAAATATTTTAAGCAATATAATGGGGATTCTCAGAACACAAATTTTGGAGCCACAGTAATCATCAAATCCTGCCTTTGCCAATTATTACCTGACTTTAGACAAATTATCCAACCTTTTTTGTCTCAGTTTAGTCAACTATATAAGCTCACAGCATTGCTGTGAAGATAAAAATGATTTCTTCAACATAAAGTACCTCATTCAAAACACTGCCTGACATGTAGTAATTACTCTATACATTTTAGCTATTGAGCATAGGCATTACATAGTTCATTTTATTTTAGGCAGATCTCTCTCAGAGCAGTGTGTACAAACTGATCTCAGGAATCCAAATGAGAAATGGTAATAGCATACTATTTCAAAATGGAAGGAAAAAAACAGATTGAAGAAAACTTCAAGATTTTGTGACTGATGACACAGTGGTAAGGAGAGCTAAGAAGTCTAAGGACAAATTTCAGGTTGTTGGCTTGGGTAATGGTAGTAGATAATGGTGCCACCACTCAAGATAGAGAAGAAAGACAGGAAGGAGGAATAAAATTGATCAGATTCAAACATACTAATTTTATTTTTATTTATTCGTTTGTTTTAAATAAACTCCACACCCAGCATGGAGCCCAACGTGGGGCTTGAACTCACAACCCTGAGATCAAGACCTGCGCTGAGATCAAGAATCAGACACTTAACCAACTGAGTCACCCAGGGGCCCCTACACATACTAAATTTTAGAGTACTACAGAGCTGATGATTAGGAGTAGTCACAATTGAAACTATATTCTGGGTGAGAGTGATCAGTATTTATATGGTAAATAGAAGCAACATCAGATAGGTATCTAACCAAGAAGACATTAGAGACTACTAGTTGTTCACCCAGTATCTATTCTCCTATTCTTTATTGTGGGGGGGGGGGGGGAGCCTCTCATTCAAATTTGCCTGGACATATGACTTCCTAGACTAAAGACTTCTTTTCCAGCCATCCTGGAAAAGGATGCTAAGTGTTACCATGTTATTGAGTTCTAACCAATGGGATGTGAGCCGGGTGATGTGTGCAACTTCTGATTGGATTTACAAACAAACAGGCAAGTCCTTTCCTTCCAAATTCCTATTGGGAATTACTATTCCTGCTAGCTGGAATATTACACAAGTAATAAACGATCTTATAGTATGTAGATGAAGAGTCACATCTAAGAATACAGAGAAGTAAGACAAAAAAAGACTAGGTCTGAGATTAACCCGCAGAGCAGAGAAACCACAAACTCAAATTTTTTACATGAGAAAAAAGCAACCAATACCAATTTAATACATATAATGGGATGCTACACATACTACTATAGCAGGTGGCAATGGCTTAGAAGAATGACAAGCAGGCATAAAAGGCGGTTAGTGACCCTTATAAATATTGTGACAGATATTAGGTAAAACGGTATCCTGTGATACTGCAAAAGGGAGGCAGATACATGCTAACAGAACCTGTAATTCTGAGGGAAGAGACTGGAAACATTTAAGACTCCTGCTCCAACCCAGAACTACAGCAAAGGCTAATCTCACCTCCATCCAAATCCCTAACTAGGCAACACTGCTTAACATTAGTCTACTCTTGCTTCCAGTTTAGTTAATGCTTGTGTACATTTGGCTATAACTGGTTTATATATATATATATATTATATATGTGTGTATATAAATATACATGTATATGTATATACACATGTATATATGTACATATCATGTATATATACATATACATTTATATATGCACATGTGTACACATACATATTATCATGCATATATATATATATATGCATATTATCATAGTAAGACTCCCTCGCCAGGCATGATTAGACAATGTATAAAGTATGTCACAAGTATATTTTTTCAGGTAAAAAACTTCTATAAGCATCTCTATTGTTTCTAGTAGAATTCTTTCTAAACTGTACATTGCACATTACCAAGCTTATAAAAAGACTATAATGAATCTAATTTAACCTTTTACTGAGTACTTCATCTCATCATGGTACCAATTATTATGTTTTAATAAGGTCTTTCCTAATGTGTTTATTCTCATTGATCTTTTGTTATATACTGACACTTGCAGCTAAACCCTTCAGTGTTCCCTCTACATTGTTACCATAGCTGTCTAATAAAATAGGAAGACATGAAAGCTGCCACAAGACACCAGATGGCTTTCAAATGTTATTTCCCAAAGTCAACAGGCTCTGTAACTGAAATGTCATCAAACCTTTCCTCATAATTAAAGGCAAAAATTCTAACGACTGTTTTCCCTGAAGCATACAAAAAATATACTTTTTTAAATGTATTACTAGGTTTGCTATTATTCTATTATATTGCAAAGATTTCTAGGAGTTTAAGACATTCATGTCTTTTATATCTATGTATTCCTATTGAGATTTTATATATTTAAAAAAAAAGACATTAGTGGATCTTAACTCAGTATTCTCTATATATAGTTGGCACAAAGTAAATGCTTTTACCAAAGACTCTTATATCTAGGGTATATACAGGGCATTATTCCCTCCTCCAATAATAATTAGTTGGAACAAAAAAGAAAAAGAGCACCAATCAGTGCTCTTAAGAATTTAAGCATCAGTGACTTAAGAATTTCTGAGGACTTAAATTTTATTATAAAAAAACCTTGTCAAAAATATGTACTAAATATTAAAAACATGTCTGGAAAGGAAAGGAAGAAGAGGCATGGCGAAACTAGTTAAATGGCAAATAATTCCTCCTAAATGCTATCTAAAAGCTATTTCTTATAGAAATCAGAACAAATATTTGCCTTAAGAACAAAAAATCTCAAAGATAATCATTTACAATAAAGAATATAAGTTTATTCTGAAGAGAATTAGACATTTAAAAAACTGAAATTCTATTAAAATGTGGCTTCAGGGACGCCTAGGTGGCTTAGCAGTTGGGTGCCTGTCTTCAGTTCAGGTCGTGATCCCAGGATGGAGGATCAAGTCCCACATCGGGCTCCCTGCATGGAGCCTGCTTCTCCCTCTGCCTGTGTCTCTGCCTCTGTCTCTCACTCTGTGTCTTTCATGAATA